ACACTTCCCCTCTTTTGCTTCTGTTGTTGTTGCGTGTGCTGCTGCTGCGGCTGCGGTGGTGGCCGCGTGAGAGTGAGGGAGAGAGAGCCGTGCACCGCCCGCACACACACGCGTCCTCTTCTCACTGTGTGTCTCCCGTTGCATGGACTCTCGCCCTCACCTCACCCCACGAAGCACACACAATAATGTGCCCATTGTATATATGCATGCACACCCATGCATGCCCGTTGGTGCTCTCTTTTGCACGACACGCACCGCTGCCGTCCTGCCTGGCTGCATGGGCGGAGCACCGTAACTGTTTTTCTTTCCATTGCATTGAGTGGGCGACCTCTCTCTCTCTCACTCTCTGCGGCATCGTAATCGACGCCACCAGCACGCAGTGAGGCAGCGGAAGCCGCCATTGACACGAGTGCGACCGGAAGGGGACACGTCTGCTGTTGTGTTTCGAGGGGGCGCACCGTGTGGCACAGTGGCGTGCCCAAAACCTCCTCGCGGAGCCTGCACACGACACCGGGCACTGGATGTGGGGTGTTTGCGTCATGAAGGACACTGCGGTGGAGTCCCTCCTCCCTGCAGGTGGACGGACGCCTGAGTTTCCTTTTGTTCTTACTCAGGCGGATGGCTGCGCGATGACACCACAGCGAGGCAGTTGTTTTCACCATGGCGGGGCAACATCTGCAGGGTTGCGCATTGGGAATATGAACGGCGAGTGCAGTAAGAAAGGGAGTGTCATGGCTCTTTTTTGCCGCGCGAATTGCGGGGATTTTCATAAAGCATGTGATTGCACTCCTTTCTGTTGTGTTGGAAATTACCATGATGCGCCGCTGTTGTGGCGTGTGTGATTTTGGGTGTCTGCGTGTGGCCGTGGCTGCACCGAATTCCCTTCCCACTTTTGTGTGTGTTTTCGTGTGTCCGTGGCGATATGCCCGCACGTCCTCTTGCAGAGTGTGTGCGGTGTCGGCGGTGCCACAGGGGTGCGGACCGTAGTCAGCGGGATGCGTGGGCGAACCCTCCGTGCACACCACGTTGCTATTATTGTTTGCTCTCACCAACACTGTGCTGGGTGGTTGGCACCCGCGCGCCGTCGTTGCGGCGGTCCTCGTGCATGTGGTGTGCGTCGCACACTGTGTGGATGACTCTCTTGCTGTGGCTGCCCGTGATGTCTGTGCCTAGTTACCCCATCTCTCTCTTATTCTCCTCCTGTTTGGTGGTTAGTGTTCAGCTTTGACTCAATCCAACTAAAAGAACAGAAGGAAGCAATGCCTGGAAATCAAGCGTCTGCTGTGCCGCAGGGAGATATTCGGAGGAGAGCGAGGCCGGAGTCTGAGGGTGACACAGGTCAACCCGCTGCGACTCGCGGAAGAGTGGAGGATGTGCGGCGATTAATGTGGGCTCTTGACAGTCGGGTGGAAGGATACACGCCGTGGGAAGACTACGAGTCTGTGTACAATGCGAGGTGGCATCATGTCATGGAAGTTCCTGGCGGCGAGGGGACGGGAATGGAGGTGCATGAGGGGGAACCACCGCGGTCATGGACGTACAAGGCAGTTGGCCGAACCCTCGAAAAGGATGACGGTGTGGAGCCATCCGGTGCACCACGTCTCAGGCTGATGGTGCTTACCTTGGGCAAGACATGGTTGTTCTTGTGCGGGATGCAATTAACGACTGCTATGTGAACTGTGAGGTGGATCGAGTGTGGCAGATCGTCAGCGGCGATCTCACCGAGTGGTTCAGCAGTCGTCCTGAGGACCACTTTACGCCTCATCCGCGTGTGTTGATTGGGACGCCCGGTATCGGGAAGTCGATGGCTGCCGGTTCGTACCTCCTCTACCAGCTGCTGCACTGCGATGCGGACCTACTCACTGTGGTTGTGTTCGTTGTTTATGGAAGTGAGGCATACATGTTTAACAAGACCACCGAGACGGTGACAAGTTACATGGATATGTCCATGATGATAAAAGCTGTGAAGGAACTGTCTCGGCGCGGGATGAAGGGGTATATCATCTACGACGTGGGAGGTAGGTTAGATTCTCCGTCTCCTTTTTTGCCTCCCGGAGGCTGGGGCATGCTTGTGGTGGCAATGCCAGAGACAACAAGTTACGTACACTGGGCGAACGAAAAGAGAGCCGTACGAATCATAATGAATTGCCCCGATGAGAGCGACGTGAAGGCAATGTGCGTTTGGATGAAGCGCAATCAGCCTCCGCCGCAGCAAGCGAATACTGGCGAGAGGTGAAGGGTCGCATGGACAAACTGGGACCTATTCTTCGCTACATCTTTGATGAGGGACGTTATAAATATTGGATTGCAAAGTGCCACAACCTTGTGGATGGAACGACCTCTTGGGGAATCCAGCGTTACTTTGTTTTTAGAACTTCCAAACTCTGGGAGGATAATAAGGTGCTTGAATATCTTGCGAGGATTGTCCGAGCACGAGGAGAGCGCAATGGCGAGTCGCCCTTCAATGCACCGATAACTGCCCACCTCGCAAGTAAAACACTGTGCAAGTTGGCACAGTTAATGACGCAGGCTGAGTTTAACTTATTTGTATCGAGGATCAGGGATTGTCTCACGCACGCAAATTTTGGGAAGTGTGCCATGTTTGCATTTTTGAATGTGGCCTTCATGGCTGCAATGAGACGTAAACTGAAGGAGCTGAAGCCCCCAACACGACGTCCGTCACACCGCTGTGCGCTGGAGGTGTACTCGCAGGAGGGCCCCACCAGCCACTATTTTTTGCCGTCGGCGGAACGCATTGGCAAGAAGACTTGTATAAACCACCGGCTGCTGTACATACCGGAGGTCGAGAATTTTCCGCTGGTGGACGGCTTTTTCTTCATGGACTCAAACCCAATGACGCTGGTTGGGCTGCGGATGGCTACGGCGGGTGGGCACCACACCACCGCCAGCACTGTGCGGCAGTTCACTGAGTGCCTGGCGGCATATTTTAATGGCTGGGAGGAATTTTCCCGAGACATGTCGTGGGAGATGATTTATGTGCAGCACGCAGACAGCACGCCGTTGAATGACTGGCAGAGATGTGATGTTGTAAATTCCGATAATGTGAGCAAGAAGGAAAGTCAAAAAATTGCGGCGTTCTGGGAGGAGAAGCTGCGCCAGTACCAAGTGTCAATACCATCCAGAGACGTTTGAAGAGACGAAGCGCTCCGGAGTGAGGAATAACCGCCGAAATAGGAAAACAAATTGGGGAGGGAAAGGGGCAGTTTTGATTTGTGGTAAGGAAATATTGTGAGATTTATTTATTCTTGGATAATTGTGTGTGTGCGTACGGTGCGGGCGCACCAGCACAAGACGGCAGTATCTCGCACACAAACGCCAAAAGTGTCCAACACTATCGAACATAACAGTGACAGAAGAAAATTAGGGAGGGAGTGGGGTTGTTTGTTTCTGGTGAAAACATTGGGTGGTTTTTATATAGTATGTTGATTGTGTGTGCATACAAGGCACAATTGTAGAATTGCCCCGGTGTGAGGGAATCATTGTGTTTGGCGCTGTCGCAGTACTACTGCATTGCTTGTTTTCCTCTATTGTGTTCTAAGGCCCATCACGAACAGAAGCATCTTAGCGGGATGGACGAAGGACAAGGTCTATTGGAGAAATGGCGCTCTCCGTGTGACCGCATGGGACGAGGCGCCGCGTCATGGGTGGATGGGGATCCGCTTCCGCGTGTGTCTCTTTGGGTGATTGCTTGCTCGGTGTGCGTAGTGTGTTGGCTGCGGGGCTGTGGCCGTGTTCCGTTGGCCGTGGGATTGAACTGGAGGCGGTGGCGGTGTGTGCGTTTGTTGTGTGGAGGGCCGAATCCTCTTACCCGCGGACTGACAGCACTGCGATGGTGCCTGTGTGTGTGTGAGGGCTGGTGCGGGCGATGCTCCTCTGTGCTGTTCCTTCCGGATTGCCTTGTGCCCCGCTCTCTGCGTGGGTGCTCTGCTCTGGTCTCCACGAACGTGTCTGATGTATTGCCGCTGTTGCTGTCCCCTCCACCTCTTGAAAGCACACGCTAGGAAGGTAAGACATCAAGTGCGAATCGCTACTGTGAGATTCGAGGGCTCTGAAGGACCAACAGCACACACACATATTTATGTGCTCTCACGTGCTGCTGCTGTGAAGGCACCCCGCACACACTACCGTCGCCGTGTGACCGGATCCAGCGGAAGGAGGAGGGAAGGAGGAGAGAGTGGGAAGCAGAGGCCCAACATGTCCCGGCATCACTTCCGCTCTGCGGTGCTGCTACTCGTCGTGATGATGTGCTGCGGCAGTGGAGCTGCGTACGCTGAGCAGGCAGGGGCCACTGTCGATCCATTTAAGGGGAGGTCGTCGACACCGCTTACTAATTGGAAGGAGTTTAACGAGGCCTGAAGGAAAATCACCTCGCTCCGTGTTCCTGGCCTCATTAAAGTGGGTGAAGATGTATTTGCCGTTGCTGAAGTGCAGTGCGGGGAAAAGGATTGAGCCGGCAGCCGTGCTGGGATTGTGTCAAAGCACCTGAATATAAGTGATGACCCATTGGATATTTCAATGCCGGATATAAGTTTGTTTTGCATGCAACTTGGGGACACCGCCGCGAATAATTTTGGGACAACAGAAGTGTTGCGACCAACGACGCTTGTGTTTGGGAACAGTGTTTACATGCTCCTGGGAAACTACAGCCGTACAAAGCCGCAGTTTCAGGGTGAGAATGAGCGGGGTCTTTTGCTTTTGAAGGGAACTGTCTCTGACGAGGGTGGAAACAAAAAGAAACTTTTGTGGAATGAGGCCCATTTGGTGAAGCCTGAACCCAGAGGAGATTCTCTTTCCTTGACCGAATTAATTGGCGGTGATCGGGCGCTGTGATGGGTGATGGCGCGCTTGTGTTTCCCATGCAGGCCAAAAACAAGGATGG